AAATATCCTGGCAAGAGTCCTGCAAGGTTTAGGTTTAGGTTCATTAGATTTATATGCCGCCCTTCTCCCAAGGACTCAGGGCGGCGTACAACATTAAAAGAAACACATAATACCAAAGTTAAAAAATTATTAAATAGAATATCCCAAAGAAACCCAATTAGAATTGACAATAACATTATTTTTTAAAAAAATCGAATTAAAATTAACAGTGATCATTTATTTTGTTTTGTTCAGGCCAGGCTGGCTTGCTGGAAAAGCCAACTTTTTAGAGCGCGTCGAAAGGACCGGAGGTCGGGGATTATACGAAGCTCCGGGGGCAGCTCTTCTTGTTAATCATACTGAATATACAACCCGGTATGAAGTGCTATATTTTGTTTGAAATTCAGTTATAACACTGAGGAGGACTTTTACACAATTTATGATTCAGCCCAGTCAGATCTAATTAATGACTTCTGCATCAAGTGAGGAGACAGAGTGGGGATTCCAATAGGAAAGCTTAAATTTCATTTTGGCAATGAAAGGGTTGATCAAGTTGAAAGACTGGGATGACATTGTAGATGCATTGAAGGAAGAGGTGCTGTTGTATAATCTGCCTGATAATTAAACTAGAACAAAGACAGTAGTTTTGTTCATGAATCTCTTTGGAATTAAGCTGCCTATTAAGAGAGTTTTATCTGACTTCAGAACATGGAGGTTCTTTACAAAGATAAAAAAAAAGATAGGAGAGACAGAAAATAAAAGTTGTGGCCCACTGAGCTGAAAACAATTAAAGTCTTAAGTTAAAGCCTACTAAATAGTCTGTAAAAGGGGAGAGTTTGAGTCCTTGGTTTGTAGCAAGCTGTGTAAAAGTAGCTAGCTGAGTATTGGCTCATTATTACCAGAAGCTTTTGAAATCTTAAGGGAGACAATTCTTTGCTTTATATCAAAGCGTGAATGGAACCTGTGAGAATATAAATGTAAATTTACCTAAACAGCAACATCAGAGAACCGAGGAAGCTGCGGAAATTGTTGTGGCGGTTAATGTGGCTTTCCTCATCTAGCTTGATGTTCCCAAACACCTGAAAACATAGAAATAAAGTTATTAACTCTGACTTCATAAGACAAAAGTACAGCAATCACAGCATTGTGTGGATGGTAGAAAAATGTACAGTGCTCTGGCCATTCTTTCATATTTCCAAAGTCTGTTGATGATACCAGAACAAGGGGGAAAATACTGCTGGGATAAAACATTTTTCAAAACCGTGAAGAGAGTTAAAAGAATATTGGTTATAGTATGCCAACTCATCTCACTTTCTCCTTCGATAACCACAACATATAGCATTTGTATTGAACCACAACAAATTTTATTTATTTTTTCCTTGAAAAAGGTTTTTATTTTCCATTTTTTCATTTTCATACACTCACATATATACTGTGCATAGCCGGATCCATACAACATTAA